TACAAGAAGCAGAGTGTCTCTCATCTGATTTGGGAGACAGCACCTTTTCCAGATGAAACCCACACTCTAAGTACAGTATCCTCTCCCTTTTTGTACATGAAGTCTATTTACATGGCACGTCAGGGACTGTAATCTGATTGTAAACTCAAGGTATGGGTTTTCAGGGCATGTGATTCYAGGGGTGTTTTGGAGATGTTTGCGTACTATATGTTGCTGACCTGGTTTATGTTTTTAGTACACATTTAGGATGTGGTGAAAGTCTTTATTATCACACAATAGTTAATAAGTCAGACAGAGCTCCTGGAGGCCACCAAGTGTATGCAAGCCAAAACACTATCCAGTTCATGCAGGAARCCCAATGCATTTCAGCCAACGTGGGCATTCTGGAATGCCTTAATATTTTTTTTTAATTCTAGAATGGTAATACTCATCATTATCTATATCTTAAATAATATGTCTCTTTAGTATATGTCTATTTATGCCTTTATGCCTTTGCTGTTACAGAATGATAATGACTCTTAATACTGTCATGGTGACTGTAGTTACTTGCACTGGGGCAGAGTAGTGAAAGACAAACAGTCTCGCAGTTTTGTGTTTATTTGGCTTCTGTTCACTGGCATGGGGCAGACTTGTTCAGTAGTGACCCTGTTGAACTTCCAAATTTTTTTTCATGCTGGTAGCGTAAAATCTTTCTTCGTAGCTGAAGACAGCCTTGAACATCTGTCTTAATTCTTACAACAACCCTGCTGAGTCTACAGTGTGTCTGACCTTGCTCTTAATGTCTGGAATATGTATCCCAGAGTTGAGAGAAATGTTATTTTGATATTTCCTTCTTTTTTTTTTTGTTTTTTTCTGTACGGATAGGCTCACTGGTAGCAAATGAAACCTTTCACACTTCTTATAGAATGAAAGTTAAAAATAAATTTCTGAAATTCACTGAATCCTAATGCCAGCCAGCACTTAGACAAAATATTGTGCAAAATCAATGGAAATTTTACTACTGTTAGAGGATGAGCAGTTTTTCAAGCACAAGGTGAACATAGGGCAAAACTAAGGAGGAATCGTTTTTAGATGATTTATAGCTTCACTAAAGCACAGAGGTAAAACCTGAAAGTGAAATAGAAAATGAGATACCTACAAGAAACCTGGTTCTTGATAATCCTGTTAATCTTTAATCTTGAGTAACATGCATCTAAAATATTATTGTGTTTAGACATGCTTATTATCAGTAGCAAACAAATTGGGAGTGTGGAATTCTCTATTCCACTGGAATTTCATGAGTGCTTTAAAAATCTGCTGAAGACAAGCTAGTGGTGGAGGTCACTTTCTTGCCCTCATGGYAGATTGAAGCCCAACGTTTTTAGGGATTAATTACAGCAGGCTCCCAACCTGCAGACATTTTTCTCTCTGTCTGTCCCTGCACACAGGCTGCACATGTGCTGTGCACCATGCATATGGGTAGCCTATCCAGAAACTGCACTCTGTCCTTTATCCAGTGTGCCCAGCAGTCACTCACAGCCTGGATAGGTATCTCTCAACTCTGCCAAGTTACTTGTGTCCTTATTGAACAGCAAAATATCATAATTGAGGTAGGAGCTGAGCAGAAGCGAATGGATGGCTAGATGGACTAGCTCCATGCTTTCATTTAAAGAAGATTCGTAATCTGTCTTTCTCAAAGATGGACCTCTTGTGGAAGCATTAGAAAGTGCTGTTTCATCTCCCTGCCTCTTGTGTCTCTTGAGAAAGCTGCTGAGACAAGATGAAACCTCAGTCCACATTGCCCACTGAGCTGATGCTTCAGAACCCTCTTGGGTTGTCTTGCAGAAATGAGGTGACAGCAGGAGCGACAGTGTTTTTATTTGTCTACAAGGTGGAAAGTGAACCTTTTCTTTGTAGACACTAAATTTCTTACAAAACCTGTTGCCTCCAGAAGACTGAACTGCAGCAGTCTCCTCTGATTAAAGCTTCATGTTAACTACTTGTCAAGGATATATTTGCCTAGCTCTTGAATAGCATTTCTCACAGGATATCACTTGTACTTTATTGGTCTGTGCTGCCTTCCAATTCAGGTTTGGTTTTACTGGAACAACTGGAGGGTGTTGCTTCTGATCTGAAACATTCTGGCTGCCTGAGAGATACACAAGGAAGCGTGAGCTAAAAGCTGTAGATGTAATTGAGAGGTGGAAGCGGCAAGGTGTTCACTGTGTGGCTCCCACCCTAGCTTAAATCATCCAAAGCCAAACTTCTTCCTCTCCAGAGTATTTTTTCCATTGATTTTGTTTTTTTTTCCTTGAACTTTTGTTGCACTCATGTTTTTCCTATGCAGCTCTATTCCATGCAATTTAAAGCACTGGCTGCACCACCTGCTTTGAAAATTTGTATTCTGAATGCTTTGTGAGTCTTGAATTATGATGAATGAGGCTTTTAAGAAAATAGAAATATTGTGTGTGTTTTGACATTCAATGAGTATCCAATGAATTATCTCTCTAAGTTTTGTAGGGCAAATAGAATTATTTAATTGGCACAGGTTGGTTTGTTTCAGACTGTTTTTGAACTTGCATGAGCAAGTCTGAGACAGCCAATCTGGGACAGCAGCAAGTTAGAAAACAATTTGGTGTTAAAAAGCATCATTCCAGCTGGAGGCAGGAGTAAGCAGTGTGGTGAAGGGACAGGTGGAACTAGTCTTAGTTTTGTGCAGAGGGGCCAGTACAAAAAGTAAAGAAGGAGCTATAAACAAAAATCTGAAAAATAAAAAATATTTTACATTGTCCATGATATTTTGAGTTTTAAAAGATACCTRTGCGAGAGGCTTCAAAAGCAACAGCTCAATAGTTTGCTCAGTCTGAGCTTCAGTCTATCAGAGAAGCTAAACTATGTGGTAGTTCTGCAGAGCTACAGATTATGTGAGTATTAAATGCTTGCAAGAAAGGACCTATGCTCAACATGTGTTAGAGTATTGCTTTATCTTCGCAGAATCATAGAATAGCTTGGGTTGAAMGGGACCTTAAAGATTACCTGGGTGCAATCCCCCTGCTGTGTATAGGGACACCTTTCACTAGACCAGGTTGCTCAGTGCCCCATCCAACCTGGCCTTGAACACTCTCAGGAATGGGGTACTTCTCCTGGCAACTTGTTCCAGCGTCTTTCCGCCATCACAGTAAAGAATTTTTTCCTAATACCCAATCCAAACCTACTCTTAGTTTAAAGCCATTTCTTCTTGCGTTGCTAGATGCTCTTGTAAACAGTCTCTCTCCTTCTTTGTTGTAGCTTCCTTTCTGATACTCCAGGGTTGCAATTAGGTCACCTTGAAGCCTTCTCTTTTCCAGGCTGAACAATCTCAATTCTCTCAGCCTTTCCTCATTATCTTCCCTGATCCTGTCACCAGTCTGGCTGAGACATTCATGCCCCACTTTCCCTTTTGCTGAATTGTCACCGAAGTTTAAACTTTGGCTTCTTGTAGCCTTTTTCCCTGGGGTGAATAACGGCACTACTTCAGAGAACCCTTCTTTGTTTTTTTTTTTCTTTTATTCTGCACCTGTGTCTCTTCTCACAGAGCTATTCCCTAAGCTTACTAAGGAACATCACTGAAGAATTAATTTAGTTTTGTCAAGTTTCTGGTCTGACCCTTAATTTAGAGCAGTCGTTTCAGTCTACAATAAGCTCTGTGTTTCTGGATGCCRCAGTGAAAGAATTACGAGCAGTCCTCGGCCATGTGCATTCAGGATGCTTTGGTAGCCCCATGGGACAAGTAGACTTCAGTGCCTGAAAACTTATTATAGAATAGGGGTACAGTCAGTATATTATTTTCTGTRTTACCTTGGGTCTGCCTGTATGTAAAAGCTTTTACATGAATCACTGAGGCCATTAGGAGTGGAGTGGTATACCATAATTTCAGGCACAGAGGTCTTCAAAATGAAAGGCTTTTTCCTTCTTTCCCCAGGGAGCCCCAAGAGCCATTCAGCATGTAGTTTGAAGGAGACTTCATAAGCCTTCAATCACAGCATCAGGAACACAAAGCTTATTGCTGGGATGAACCTGCAAGTCTGAGTGATAAATAAGACAAGACAGGTAGATGAAAAAAACTGACTTTCTTTGCTGAGACAAAGATGGACTGATTTTTAAAGTTTSGCAACCTGGACCTCCATAGGCATATGGAGAGCATGTTGGTGGAGGGTCTAGAGCTAAAAACAGTATTCTGAAGGTACCATGAAGTGATCAGGCAATAGAGCAGAATGAGAAATAGTATTTTTTTTTTAACTGACTTAATCTTAGACATATTTTCTGTGCTTTTGTCTTTGCCTCTGTTTCTCTGTATTCATTGATACACCAGGATATATCCAATCTAGTTTGCTTTTTTTCTCTTATTTTTTTCTTTCCCCTCCTTTATTCTCAAAATTTCGTATACCAACTTGGTTTTCAGCTCTCTGAACAAAGCAGACCTTCTGGTCTTGCATAGTTGGCCTTGGAGGCTAACAGGAATGTGCCTTGTTAAGTGATTTCAGCTTATTTGGCTTCTGAGGTCATGGACATAGTGGAAGAACACCTGTTCTCATCTTGCTTCAGCACTTAATCCCTGTCCCAGACAAGCCTAGAAGGGCACGACACAGGAGATGAAGAATAATATTAAAAATTGCTCAATAGCTTTTTGGAACATCCGGAAAGGTTCATGGATAATGATTTTATTTTCCCTGGTTTTATCATATCCACACCAAGAAATAAGATAGAAGAACACTGTTTCTTAGATTATTACATTCATTGTTTGAGAGATTGAAAAAAATGTGGATAATCCAAGGTTTCTGCAAGCAATAGAGAAACTCTTCAAGGACAGTTCTACATGTCCTGTATGCCTGAYGCAAGCAGAAATTTCTGTTGGCAAATACTACTTTGGCTAAGGCATTCAAGACCTTGTTGCCGGTGTGTGTGGGTGCGTGCGTGCGTGCGCACATTTACTTGACACTTTGCTTTATATTTTTTTTCTAATGGATCTTTTTTTCCTTTAGGGTGGCAGGACACAGTGTATCCAAGAAGTGTGCCCCATTCTCTCATGTCCTCAGCACCTCAGTCACATCCCTGCTGGAGAGTGTTGCCCCAAATGCTTAGGTGAGTGKTTTTTTCCCCTAAGAATTGTAAATAATACAATATGTTTGTGCAGAACATCTTATAGACATCTTATAGTATTTCACAATACTATAATTTCAAATTCCAGGWGGTGAAAGGGACTCTATTGCTTAGTGGAGTTTACAAACCACAGATTCTGAACAGGTACTCAGGGTCAGTGTTAGGGTAGGGGAGTGGTACTGAGCAAGCAACTGCAGAAGAGGATTTGAACATAGACAATTTGCCTTAGAGGGACAAGTACAGAGATGCTTCCCATCTTTATAGTATATTTTATAAAGGAGGTTGAGGCAGAAGAAAATGTTCCTTTGGCGTTTACTACAAGAAAAATGCCTCACCATCTGATGTTATTACTTGAATGAGCACTTGCATTCTTGGTTTTGGAGAAATGCAGGTCAGAGGAAACTTGTATTCTTAGMAACTGTTGTCAGAGAGGCCACGGATCCAGGAGTCCATCTCATGGTTGCCTTGCAGGGTGGAATCACACTGTCATCCAGGCATATTTTCAATTGGATCTTTCCAACACATTTTAAAGGTGTAAGGCATAGGCCTCTAAGCAAGGCTAGTTCTTTCTGGTCATGACAAGAAAGGCAGTGACAAAATAAAGCACTGCCTTGTTTTACTGTGCCCGCAGATCCCGCAGGTGAACATTCCATCTATTTCATAAACAAGGAGCACTTACATCCTACCAAGTAAATTAGCTTTAGTTTGGTCTATGGGGTTACAACTAGGTTTGGAAAAATTTCAAAGCCAATTGCTCCCAGTTTTCAGTGGAAAGCTTTTGTATTTTTATCTGCAATCTCTTTTCAGGCCTAGGTTAGGGATATAGAGATGTCTGGCCTTGGAGGCAGCAAAGCCATATAGAGTTCCAGGTTCTCATGATATTTAACATTTTTGACTGCTTGAAACAAACCTGAATTTATTTATTTGCTAATTGAGAAGTGCTACAGATAAGTGTCCGTCTGGAACATTTAACCACAGTACCAAAGAGTAATGCTGTAGAGGAATGAAATGGAGAGGAGAACAGTCCAAAGGCTGCGCTTCTGTTTTGGCTGAGGACATTTTTCGTTTCCTTCTGTAAAGTCCCCTTGTCCTCTCCTTCCCACGCTTTTCCCAACTGAATTTTCCACTCCTTGAACTAGGCATTCAAAATTCAGCTTTAATTTTTGACTGCTTCATAGGGATCTTTCTACAAATTCTTTTTTCCCCTCTTAGAATGCAAAAAATTCACTAATAAYAATCAATTTTATTTTATGTGTTTTTTTACTCCAAAGGATTTCATGTACCTGTGAATAGATTGTCTGTTTACAGGGAAGTGTTAAGACACGGTCGTGGAGGTAAAGCCAAGAGATGAGTAACACACTGCGTGGCGGTCAGGAAAGAGAAAAGTTTCCAGGGATGCTGAGGCATGGTTTTTAAAGTATCATGTGGAGGACCTCCCTGCAAYTGAATTCCTGATACTCAGCATACATAGCTTAGAAAAATGCTGTGGACTCTACTGGGATTTGAATTATTAGTTTAACTAGTGGTTATGAGCCAGCAAAGACAACCATTAAGCCAATATCTTCATTACCACATCTTTTAAAGTGGTGCCTCCTTTGACAGTGGTTTTTAACCAACTATTTGAGCTGGGTTGGCCACCCAGAATTGTGCTGAGTGGTTTGCAAGGCATGGCAAGAGGGTGTGGGAGAGAACTGGACTTTTGTTCACTTGCTGACACAAGCTATGCGATTGAAGTCCTGGCCTCACAGAGAGCAGTAGAAGTTTGTTACGGGCAGGACAATGGCATGGCTTTGCCCATAAGTGGTACATGGATGTAGAGCAGTTCCTTTTAGGGCTACGGAGCATCCTCAACTCATTCCTTATGTCAGTCCTGCAACAGAAATTAAACCTTTGGAGAAAGATGCACATCCAGTGAAAGGAAGGCTGGCTATGCAAGCACAGGTTAATTCCAAATATCTAATTTGCAGGAGAGGGATGTTTAAATTATGTCTAACTGAACAAAACCAATTTTTTCTTAACTTTTGTTTAACGTTTGATTTGTAAAAACTGAAGGCAAATCCAATGGATTTTGCTTCGTGCTTATCCTTTTGTTCACTTAGATGAAAATGGAACCTTTTTCTTTTAAGTTGCTCTACATTTCTCAAGAATTACTGAAAAATGAAGGAATTACAGTGTGCCAAGACTTCATGATTTGAAAGCTAAAGTACTGACTTAGTACTTCTAGCATGTACTTAGACTGGGCATTAGATACCTCAGATTTGATGCCTATTAAACATTGGACCTCAGAAATTATAAGGTGGGGGAGTGACAGCCACTCGTAAAAGAACTTATTAGTTGGCTGCCTCCAAAAGTAAACAGGACAATTCAAAGTTAGGAAGGTAAATATAGTGTTTTTGTGAAGAGCTCATATGTATGTRTTATAATGGTCACTCATTTAAAATAACCTACTGGGAAAGAAGCTAAGGAATAAGAGAAGCTTACAGAAGTGCAAAGTGTGTTATGACTGGGGTCTGAAAGTGCTTGCAGGGTTGCAGGACTTCAGGAAGAATTTTATTTTGGTACTGCCTCCCTGTATAGTGCTCCAAACACTTGCCTCGTTCCCATTAAACCCCAATATTTTACAGATTACGGAAACTAAATATCTTGTGTTGCTTTCATTCTGTTCAKAAATGATGCAAATTCATATATTTCTTGCAGCCTTGTGTGAATATGGTACACCAAGCTATCTTAATGAGACTGGACAACATCTATGTTTTTTTTGCATCAGTGTCACTGAGTTGATTTAGCTTGGCTGCTATGAGCCCCTAAGGTACATATGCTAAAAGAAGTTAAAGCTGCTTTATTTGATAAGTTATTGCTTTAAGTTAAAGACTGTTTAAACTAGTTTAAGTGTACCTACCTTAAGAGTTTGCAGTGCTTTTTATTCCTTTTGCTGCACTGTTCACTTTATGATGAGAAGGAGAAGAAATATTTTTTCTATATAAACATRCCATAAATCATTTATATTCCCTCCCAGAGTAGAATTTGTACAGATAAATATGCACTAAAAGAATAGTGAACTGTTAAAAGTACATTTTTTTTTCACACTGAAGTGGAAACACATAGCAGATGACACATTGTGCATGAATTTTTTCTGGTGACAATAAACKGTACTATTTTTGTTGACAATGTGGCATATTTTCAACCACATTTTGTTTCTATTACTGTTTATTTATATTCAGGACAGAGGAAAGTGTTTGACCTCCCATTTGGAAGCTGCCTCTTTCACAGCAACGTGTATGATAATGGTTCCTCATTTATGTATGACAACTGCACAATGTGTACATGCAAGGTAAGTCCATAGTGCTTTGATATTGTGTGCTAATGGTTGTCTGGCTTAGCAGTAATTTGTAGGGCTGTGCAATTGTAAGCCTYACACTGTTCTTCGGCATCCTGTGTGGTCTCAAAGAATCTCATCTGAAGAGCACTTGCAGTTGTGCTAGGACAGTTAAAAAAGTTATTGTCTGCCTCAGCTGAGACGTGATGCCTGACCCTGTGTGATGCAAAATAAAGTTGCTCAGGTTATGTGAGCCTCAAGACAGCATTAGGGTGGAGGAGGAGTTTCTAAATGATGAATTACCATGTCTCTGCTGAAGGTTAGTGATTTTTATTAAGTTCTGTAACATGACTGCAACAACTTGCACTTTTTAATGGAGGCAAAATGATGAAAGTGCCACCAAATCTGTGAGATTTCGCGGGCAAACAGAAGTACAAGTTGGGCTTTAGCTTCATAGACCATGAAAGATTTCATTTATCTATAAATAATACTGGTTTTCTCTGAGCTGACCTGTTTAAAGCAGTTGGGCTACAGCTTGGGTGGATGCAATGATTTAGCAAGCAGAARTATTATTGTAAGGACACAATACCATCTTGGTGATGATTTTATGATTTCCTTTCACTGTTTTACCTAGGATTCAACAGTAATATGTAAGAAGAGGTGCTTACTTCCTGGTGAATGCAATAAAAACAAAGACCACTGCTGCAAGGAGTGTGTCTCATATATCTCACCTGAGGAGGTGAAAGTGTGCAAGTTCGGCAATAAGATCTTCCAGGTAAGGTTTCAGATGTGGCTCAAGAGTAGATGACATTGCAACAGCCAAAATAGCATGAGTTTGCTGTAAATTAGTATTGTGGCATGTTTTGAGCAGAATCCTCACCATCCTGGTCAATGATGGAACAACTCAGAGGAAAAGCTTTGCAAAATTTRCCTTTTTTTCTGAGTTTGCATAAATTCTGTTGATAGACAGATATTAAGRATTAGTTCCTCCTTGAATGTTACATGTTGTCTCCCCCTTTGTATGCAGATGTTCAAGCTGCTGTTTCATGACAATTGATGCATTTTTAATAAGAGATAGCAATGCTCTGCTGTCCCAYGAACACTGATACTTTGGAGGAAATATTCTGAGTGGTGTGTAGGCTTTATTGGCTGAACCAAAGGGTCTTTTCCATAACTGAGCCAATGGGAGCCTTGTGAAATTCGTTTTGGCTGAAAGTTACTTATCTTGATTTACARCATTTCATGTTTCTGCTAAGGACAGCACCCCTGACATCTTATACTGGGATAGTYATGTAATAACTGTTACCTACTGCACTCTCACCCAATGTATTCAAGTCACAAGGGATTCCCTGCAGAACACTTCTGCTGTTCCTGAGACCCCATTTGTTTTTCCAAGTGGTGCAGCTTTTTTTCACACTGTGTCAGAAAAAGATTCTGTCACCTSATGGGCCATCTGTGAATTAAGAGACCCTTGAAACAGATCAAATGTTAAGTCCTTWGTGAATACTTGGTTTGCTCAGCCAGAATTGCTTCCCATTTATTCCATCTTTTGTGTACATAGCAGGAGTGTTTATTCTGGAAATTACATGTGAACCTACTGTATGCTGAGACTATGCTCCATCTGATTGGCACTTTCACACTGGCGCCATTGTGCTTCAGGAACAAATGCCTACTTCTTAGGCACCCAACTAAAATATTCTGCTTCTTGTGAAGATTTTATTATATTACTAGTATTATATGGAGTGTGAAAAAATAACGAGACAGTGCATTCATTTCTGGTCTTGTGTGCAAAAAAATTAAATTCAGTGTTGCTAGGTTGAAGTCARTGGTCTAACACAGGTAGAATGGGCACAGCGAATGTGTTTTTGCACTCCTATGCAAAACCAGCTGTGAGACAAAAATTTAGGGCAGCTGCATACAGTCAGCTGTGATGTATTCTGGTACCTTGGCAGATGCCTGGTGAGTGGTCATTAGAGATCCAAAAACATCAGAAACACCAAGCAATAGAAACATGCCCTAGAAACAAAAAATAGAGAGACAGCCTTTGATGAAACAAACTGAGCTGAATAAGTTAGGTTCCTTGGCATTTCAGATATAGTCTGTTTCTGTTTCTGGTCAGAACATCATGTTGAGGTGGGCACATAATTATTCACAGCTGTCTGGTTGAACTGCCTGTTCCTGTCAGGTCTCTCCTCACCCTTCCTTCCCAGCAGCCCTGTAAACAGAAAACATGCACAGTTTGGCTCTAAGTGGACTAGCATAAGACTRTAAGTGGGTGAGACAGAATGTTTTAGGAACCACACTTGGCAAATGCAACACCATGTAAAAAGGAGCCAGGGCAGTTCCACAAGCAATTCATCCCAAGTGGGGACAAGATCACGAGGCATATTATGCTCTGCACTTCATATTTTCAGAGCTATACATAGGCTGTATTACCTGCTCTGCTTTTGAGAGATTCAGCCCTGTACCTCTTCTAAATATTTTCAGATGTTCTGCAGATCAAATATGTGTGAAAGTGCTGTAGTGATCTAAATTAAAATTCATATATGACCATTCCTGCTTAAGTTGAAATGGCGCTGCATATGGGAATAAATTCACTACATGCTGACATCTTAATCAAATATTTTCATGTGCAACAACTTAAAGATGTCACTCAACGTAGTGAATCAGGTTTTTTTAATTATGTGAACTTGAATGGAAATGTGTGGTAGGTGTGATCACAATTCAGATGCTTATTGGAGAGAAAATGCAAATAATCAGGACACAGTTGAAAAATGCAAATGTGATTTGGAAAAATGAATTTCTGACCAAGAAGGCCAAAGGGAAGAAAACCTGGCTGAATTTGATCTTTGTCTTGAATCCAACTGGCCACAGACAGACACCTCAAAATAATTTAGACTAAACAATGACACAGTGCCAACAGGGAAATTCATCCTTTCTTGTGCAATGATACATTGCTGAAATAGCTTCTTGTTGCCACCCCAGCTGATACTATATTATGTTCCCTCTTGCAGGATGGAGAGATGTGGTCCTCTGTGAACTGCACCATCTGTGCTTGTGTGAAAGGCAAGACGGAGTGTCGCAAGAAACAGTGCATTCCAGTCAGCAGCTGTCCTCATGTGAGTGTGTTAAAAGAACTAAGCTTTCTTCTCTTCTTTGCCCCACCATTATCTTTTCCAGTGTTCCTTGGCACTGTGTGCATGACAGTGGGGAATGCTGTTTGGAAAGAAGAGATCCTCTGGCATGTTAATTTAGGYTGGCATTCCCCAAATGGGCTGTTATCCTGAATATGGTCTTCCTGCCTCTGTTCTTGCTCTAAAGACTCTGTGCTCCTCCTCTTCTTCTCTCTTTAACTTTCTCTGTTGCAAGTGTCTTCATTGGAACAGTTCTTTTTGACTTTTATTTGACGGTTTTATAGAGTGGTGAGGTGTCTATGTTAATATTTCAGTAGTGTGCATATTGTTAAGGCAAACCACAGGAGATTGTTGTACTTGCATTTCTTAGAGTGAATGAGGCTTAATACTTAGTTGAAAATGTAAACTAGACAAATCAAAGAAAATGAGTTRAAACAAGTCATGCTGCTTTCTCTAAGGTTGTGACCTGGGTATTTTTTATTTGAAATTCTGCAGTGAACCCAAAGAGTGGTGTAATTCTAACTTAATGGCACCAAAAATTAATTTTACTTGAAACCCTGAGATAAATTCAGCCTTTRTTTCTTGGATTTCTGACACTAAAAAATGATTTTGTTTTAATGGCTCAAGCTTTCACAAGGTGGAGCTCTAAATAGCACCTCATGGAGAGGCAGATCTTTGAGCAGAATTGCAGAAGAGAAAGGCAAGTCATTAGCATTACACCTTCTCAGTGTTCCTTCTTTATTCTGGAAGACAGTRGGGAAAATGTTAGTCAAAGATGCCTAGATATAATAGTTTTAAACTCTTAGTTTGTAAAAGTTTATACATGTAAACTTTTGACAGAAGTGGTGGTAGAATAGAGAACCTGCACCTTGGCACTCCCCATTCTGCTATGACAGTACGCTTCAAGYTCCTCAGAAGAGGGAACATCCTTTTCCTGTCACTCTGGCATTCACTGCAGGGGGCAGTTCTCCTTTTCATCAGCCTCGCATGAGATGGTTTATACACATCAGAAAGTGTGAACAAATGTAGCCGCTCTTCTGGGAATGTTATGTGGCTCCTGGAAGTCAGGTTTGCTACCTTCGTGCCATTCACAGTATAAGCAGGAAGTGAGAGCTTGGGCTCTTCAGGTCTCTTCAAATCCTTTGCTGACCAAGAACCTCACACACAGTGCATCATATTTATACTTTCCTTGTGCTGATGCATTTCAAACATTTAAGATGYTTCTGAGATCAAGTAGATAATATCACTAAACATAAATCTTCAGTGAAGTGCATCACTTTTGCTGTATCCATGGATAAATTTGAGTGTTGAGAGGATCAGCTGAAGTGGRTTCTAAAATGAAAATAGTCCTGGGTAAAAATTCACCATTGCAGTGCTGCGGGGTGTAAGTGAGAACTGACTGACAAACTCATTCAGTGCTGCTACAGAGCCTGCTCCAAGGTTAATGTGAAGTCCTAAACTGCCCTTGACCTCCAAGATGAGTCCTCAGACAAGGTCTTGGTACCTTAGGGCTGGACGGACCAGCATTATTACCCTACAGCACCATTCCCCCCCGTATATTACCAGTCAGCCTGCTCCCCACCTTAAAATGCAAGCTGCTAGCGAACCCACCCTCCTCCACGTTATACTTCTGCTCTTCCAAGTTAAATTGGACAGACAGGTAGGCAAAAGAATGTAAACCRTAGAGTAAGATTTATTTTCCTATTCCAAGTGGGTACCATTTAGTTTTAAAGCAAATAATGTATGTTAATTGATTTAAATTGTTTACTCTGCTTCATTGCATCTCTGCTTCATTCTCTCTGATGAGACTTTCTGTCACAAATCTATAAACATCAATTAAACACACCACATTATTCAAGATAAAGATATATTAGTGGTTCTGATACTGACAGTCTGAATATCACAGAGTTATTCTGATGTCTCTGCAAACTGTGTTGGTCTGCACTCCATTCCTTTTCTCTCTTCATAATATTTTTTGCACTAAGCAGTCTCCACTGACTATTGAAGACAGCAGTGGAATAAAATGTGGTTGCGTGTCCCTTAGGTSTCAGGCAACATAAAGCCATCTCACTAAAACTGTATTATTACACAGGCAAATGAGTGTGAAAGGATTGACAATTCACAAAGAACTTACAATATTATTCCTTCACTTAAATGCTTTGCTGTGCAGTCTTAATACTCTCTGCATGATATTGTGGGCAGGGTTTTTTTTGTTATGGAATTTTATTTTATTTATCATCATAAATTTTGGCCAATTATCTCTTGAAAGTATATGTTTCAAAGTGGTAATTAGGCAGAAATTTCCAATACTGCACAACCATTTGTATTCAATTTATTGGCTACAGGCTGACATGTTTTTAAAAACTGTTTCTGCCATTTCTTTAGTTTTCTTCATAGAGCTAGGTACAAATTTCTGTTTCTTTTTTTTTCTGTTATTTTTTATAGCATTTAATCCTGTATCAGTAATTATGGGAAGTGTCCTTCTTAGATTCTATTCATCTGCAGTGGAGGCAATACATTTCTCAAATTCAGTCCCTCCTGTCACATTGACAGTAAAATTGGTCCTCCTTGGCGTTCCAGTGAGCCTTGTGGCTTGTGGTTTCTGTTTCTTACTTTCTGACCACTGAGTCCACACAGATATTCCCTCTCTTGAGTTATCTGTAGTGTCAACCTGCAAGGTGCAGTACATACTGGCCCTCATTCAGTAAAGCYATTAAGCATGTGTCCAGTTCCACTGAAGTTAGTAGGCCCTCCATGTGTGCTTAAACACATGCTTAAATACTTTATAGAAAAGGAACAAGCTCAACATTTGGCAGCACTGTGTTTCAGAGATCCTTTAGACGTCTTCTTACCGAATTTGCTATTTACTTGCCCTAGCTCTGCTCTAGTCTGTTTCTTGCCTTGTGCCATCTCCATTCTGATTACCCATCCTTATAATTTTTCACCTTGCCCCCTCTCCTTATGCCTTTGCATTCCTCACTAACATCTTAAGTCTGTGGTAATGGTCAGTGGTCATGAACATGTCTCTTTTCGTACTGCTAGAGGAGAGCTTGGTGAATTTTACAGCACATAACCTTTTCTGAGCTCGAAGGCTGTGCAAAAGTTAATAGAATTAAATTCATAGCAGGTGAAGACATTTGCAGAGTTCTATTCTGTGGGTAAATTTTGAACCCGTGAACTTCAAGTGAGCTGAAAATTTATTCAGAACACGTTCTCCCATTCTCTAGCACAGACTGCATTTAATGTTATACACATCTGTTATTATTACAAACAAAAAGTTGCTGTTTTTACTCTAGTGCCAAATGAGGCACAAAAAAACAACAGCTGTTGCTATTGCACAACCAAACAACCCCTTTCCCCCAGCAATTAGTCTTGCCTTAAAAAAAATAAAAATAAAACAACTCAGACACAAAATTGGAAACCCCATTAAGAAAGAAGAAAAATCCCAGAAAATAAATAGACTCAAATGTGGTCTGCTTATAAATATTCATAGGGAAAAATGGGATCACATCACTTAGCCCACTCCTAAGGGAACCCTCAATGCTAACGAACTCTTGCAGCACATGTTAGCAATAATGGGTTTCCTTATTCTACAAGACAAAAACAGGATCTCAGGCCAACATGGTGGCTCAAGTAACCAGCCTCAGCAGGCTGCCTTGGAGATTCCAATTTCACTTGAATTCTTGCCACTTCTAGCTCTGCTGATGACTTCAACTCTTTTAGTGAAGCAGAGAGGTACGGCTGTGCAGTGCAGTGTGTGGCATTCAGCTGCATGTCTCTGTTCCTACAAATGTGTGTTGCCAAGCCCCCTGTTTTCTGTGTGGCTTTAAGGGTCCTTCCTTTAAGGGGTTTTGTTCTTGCAGGTGCTTGGTAGGTCTTGCTGCTGCAGCCTGGTCCTCAAGCTATTTTCTTTGCCCAGGGACCTGGGAGTCATACAAATGTTTAAATGCTGCCCACCCTGCCAGTGAAACTCTGGTCCAGCCCTCTTCTTAAGTCCAGAGGTGTCTCAAGCTTGTTCACATGCAGTTGCATATTCAAAGACAAGTTTACACTGAGCTGTGCCCTGTGGATGATGTGCCCAAGTGCATTCGTGAGCAAGGACACATTCATGCCATCTGGGTACATCAAGCAAGAGCAGGATGGAACATGCTCCACTCCAGATTGCTAGCAGATACTTGGAGTTCAATTCCCCCCATGCACATTGTCAAAGCTTGGCAGCATTGTAGGGCAGATAGAAAAGGAGATAGCAGTAGGGCTGCCTGTGCCCATTTCCTCACTCTTTGCATAGATCTGTCACCAATTTTTTGTCCGTTTTCACAGTTTTCGATACTGTTAAGTGGCAGGGTAGCACAGCTCCATTTGCATGCTCTTGCTGTCCTCCATTTGCTCACTCTTGCTCACATGCTTGGTGCAGAATATGAGCAGTAGTAACTCACAGGGGACTTCCTCTCTGTTCAGCTGCAGTTGGAGCAAAGGGTCAGTGTTGGGGAGCAGCACAGCTCCATATACCTCTTCTTTCCCTGTGCGGAAATATGGGTGAGCTCCAATATCACCATAAGCTTTGTTAGAACCAGCACCAGTTTTCACTTGCACGAACACATTCTGAAATTTTCCACACTTATCTGCTAGCTTTCTGATTAACTTAAGGTAATTTAAGTAAAATCAGATAAAACATCTTTTAAGCTGATGAAGACTGAAAATTAGCATGAATGTATGTACTTAGACACATTCCTCTTATTTCTAGTCAGTCTTGTATAAGACACAAACATAAATAGAACTGACCCAGGCAGAGTGGTAAATTAATACGTGAACCAACCTTCCTGCCTTCCTGCCCCCCTTCCTGCCTGTCTTCCTGCTTGCCTTTGTTCCTTCCTTCCTGCCTTCCTACCTTCCTACTTTCCTGTCTGCCTGCCTGCCTCTCCTTCCTCCCTTTCCTCTCTCCCTTTTTGTAGGAAAAATGAATGATTTGGGAGTTGTGTGGGGGTGGAGCAGATTGCCTCTGCATAGGGAATGCATAGGAAATGTATATATTTTAGGAAGGTGGGGGAAAAGGTAGTGGAATGATCTTGTTAACCCAGTGACTAGTCTGCTTTAGCTATCTGTGAAAGTGAGTCCAAAATTCTCTCACACTCACTTTAAAGTGTTAACAGAGAACTCTTTTGGTATTTAATTTTTTATGAGACTGCCAGGAAGCTTGCTGAATAGTTTTGTCTGTTTTTAGCACCTGATATTTGAAGTTGTAACCAGGGCACTGAGTTCAAACACAACTTGAACTATTTTCAAAGGCTTATCCAGTCTTACATGACACAGTCACTGCTCCAAGAACTCTTTCATTAAATCAGTCTGTCTTTCTCCCAATTAGGGTAAAATCCTGAACAGAAAAGGATGCTGTCCGATTTGCACTGAAAGTAAGTTCTTTCTTCCCACTCACTAAATTCTTCTTTATTCTTTCTGAGAAAATAAATATATAGAAGTATGCTTGCTTTTCTGCCTTCTTTTTTAGAGGTGGCTAAATGGCATGTGATTATTTTTGGCTGTGGATTTTGCCTCCTATAAATCTGTAAATTTAAAGTAAAATGCCTGGGTATTTTATTTTAATTTTATTTTTCAAAATTATGCTATTTTTGTCAAATCTGAGTTGCTGCATTTTGAAAGGTGCCGTTGGTCTGGGAAATTTGTAGGCAATAAAACAAGAAAATGAATAGAGTTGTAACTTTTAGGACTTGCGTACCTTTTACACCTGTAACTAACAGTCCAGCTATGTGCATATATAATCACACCTTTGCAGATGATTTGTGAGAATTAAAAAAAGGTGTGCAGAAATCTGAGATACAGTCTGGGGCAGCAGTGGAAAGCAGAATATACGACTGTCCTTTGTTTTTGATGTTTAATTCAATCCTTGTTACCATTTGCTCCTTAATTCAGGAATGATCATTAAATTTCATTATCATCCTCCTAGTCAGCAAAGGACTTACTTATACTTACAAATACTTACCTTTAAGCTTGTCCTGTTTAACTCTACAGGGAGACATGAAATTAACAAGATGCCATTATGTATTTCCTTCAGTGCGTATTTAAGTATTTTACCAAATAGGGACAGACTGCTAAAATGGGGTTTTATGATCTATGGAAAGGTTTCTGAAGGAAGAATGTGTTCTAATCTTTTGTCTAAAATCAAATGGTTTTGCTGTTCAGCTCAGTTCTGGGTTCTTTTGRATTGCATAAATGCCGTATGCTAAATATGTGTTTTTTCAATCTGTGGCTCCATCATTTTGAAACATGTAACTTGGGATAAAATAAATCTAGCTTGCAAGTCTTCATTGTCAGAATGAAGGTAAATACAAGTGACAGCCTTAGAAACACTGGAAATAATACTGAGCAGAGGAAAAAATGAAAGAGGATTCAACTGACCAGTAGCTGATTTCATGTTCGTTCAGTTTCAAGGGAGAAGAAATCTACATAGACCTTTGCTCAAATATGATATACCATTAGTGTCATGRATTTATCAATCTCTATCTCACCTCTTTTCTTATGTTTCAGTCTCATTTAACCTTTCTCAGTGYTTTTTTGTAACATGAGAGGGGAAGAAAATAGTGGGGCCAGCCATTCCCTCAAAGCACAGGAGATGCTACTGTRAGAGGTTAAAAAGAAGACTATACACTAATTCCTTCAGAAATGCTACCAGAGAGCGATGACTTGTGGTAATTATTTCATGGGAGAAAGAGGAAAATAATAGACCTCTTCAAAATAAAAATAACTCATCTAGGCACTAGGTTACCTAAAAATTCAAAACTTTTTCATAAGGGAATAATCATGCCTACAAACATGTGATATTAAGGCCAGTTCATKGTTGCTTGCTCTCCTGCCATTCAGATCTGTAAAGAGCTGGGCTCCTTCTTGCCAGCGACCACTTTCTAGGTACTGGCAGACTCATATTAAGTCTCCCCAAGGGATGAACAACCTTGTTCCCTTATGGAAAGGGATCAAGAGTCTTAAGGGTCCTCATTGTGCTGCCTGTACTTGAGCCTGAGAAGCTCATTGTCGTGTCTCACAGTCCCTTGCTCCACCATTGCACATGAAACAGAGGGGTCCTGTTTTTACAGAGTTGTCCCACTGTGAGCCCATTTAGTATTTGGCAAAGAGATGATTCCAAACTTTTATGATTAAAAGGGCACAGTTGGCTTTTACAGGTAATGTAATCAAGGAGCTTAAATACTCAGTGTCATRCAGCAGTGGTGACTAGCTGTTTTAACACTGGTGTTTTAACATTCGCCATTTGCAAGGTATTACTTCCACCTTTGCAGCAGAAGTACTGTAAATCCCATCACRACTGTCATTTGACAGTAACTGGAAACTTTTCTAATTCAGCCAGTTTTTGATAAGGTGTACGTACAGCCCCTTCCCTCACCCACTTACTCATGTTGATCCTGATCCTCTCTCCACATACTAACACACCAAACATTTCTGGCGGTCCAGAGATATTAATTTTCCAAAGTAAAAACAACATAGAGAGGTACAAGAACATACTGTACACGGGAGAGCTTTGAGTACAGTTTAAATGCAGCCAATTTCTATGAAGTGGGTCAAAACCAGTCACGTTGTAAAAGGATACACTTTAGACTGAAAAAAAAAAATAATCAAAGGATTATTTTCATAGCAGTTTGTTGCAGAGAGAAAAAGTACCTCGTCTCCTAAAGGGCTGGAGARTCTCTTTTGTCTACTGTTGCTGAAGTTAACTATAGTTAGTTTTGGCATGTTGCTGTTTAAGCTCCATGGCTGGCGTACAGTTATCACTAATTAAACACAGTGGTCATACCAGTGGAAAATTCAACAGTTTAGTTTATGCTGCTGTAAAAAATTTAATGAAATGTACTCTTTTGGGCTTGATTTAGAAAAATCACCACTGACGTCAATTCCATAAATTAGTAATCCTGTGTTAGACCAAGGTCATTTTCATATTAAAAATAAGAAAAAAACTAAACCTGGGTTCAAATAACATTAACAGACTGCTCTCAACTTCAGACAAAGATAGGAATTTTTAATGGAGGTTAAATCTTTGTTCCTGACAACGAAGTATTAATAGGCCATGCTGAAATTACAATACACAGGATGAAAACTTCCTACTAAAAACATGTAGATATATTTTAATCATTATCAACAGTCCTAGCACAGTCTTACACAAGTCATTGTGGATGAAGTTTTYTCAAAGTGGACTGCAGTCATCTAGGTTTGCAGGTATGGTACCCATGATTAATCTTGCAGTAAAAGCTGCTTGTGGGACAGAAAATTTTTTCATCACAAATCATTCTGCGGCTTTTTTAACTGACAAAGTGGTCAATAGAGCTAAACCAAATTCAAGGGCATTTGGACCCACCTTAGGAATAAAAGGTTGGTACTTACAGTTGGTTCTGCATCCATTTTATGTGGTTTTATAGAGTTATTGAAAAAAGTGCTGACTTTCAAAGAAAAGKGAAAGAAAGAAAAAGAAACAAAGTGAGGTTATGCATTGTAGGTACCTCTGACAGAAGGAAGTGGGACTAAAGGACCACATAGGTCTCTGTTTTTTCTGTTATTTCCTTTCCATGGAAAAATACATCCACAAAAAGACTGCAATTGTTTATTCATACTGGAATACTATTCATGATTTACCTCTCATTTCAGCTGTGATGGCCTACTGTATAAATATGTATTTGGACAAATTGGAATAGCTATTTTATTTATGAAATAGACCATAAAGACTCCTGTGGAGTTTTTGACACCACACCTTGTAATGTATATTATATCAAGCTGCACTATGAAGAAGTTATGAGGAAAGTCCTCTATGGCTATGCATTTTTTACAGAAAACCTAATGAAATTCTATTATGCATGTTCTGTAGCTAGTTTTTAAAAGTTAATAATGTGTTCTGTTTGATTTAGGGCTTAATTCAGCATATGGGCTAATTACATTCMAAGTTTCATTTTATTTTTTAAAAGCTGAGATATTTTTGAATTATAGATGTGCAACCAGAACACCCTTTACTGGTAAACTTGTATTTTTTCCTCCCTCTCCTTCCTTAGAAAGTGTCCAAACCGATTTTAGTTATAACTTAAAGTATATTTTTCTTGGCCMCTCTCAACTACCTACAAGCCCAGAAGAGTGTGACCAGACATCTGGACATCTTGGACTTCAGTTGGCTGCTCTGATCTCCTGAAAAAACAAAACAAGCTATTCCATGAGTACCAGAGCTAACAAAGCCTGGTTTCCTATGGATTTGTGTCCCATTTCCTTTATATCCCAACAAATAATAAACCCAGCTAGAGACAATATATCCTATGGCTGGTCTGGAGCTACAAGTGTGCTAATTGCTCAGCCAATATGCTTGTACTCTTGGCTGGTCAGGATGTGTGTGCTGACTGTCTGTCTGGCCTCCACCACGCAGTATATATATTTTGCCTTTCTAAAAAGGCTAAATACTGTCTGGGGGAATGGAGGCACTGKGTGGAAGGGAGAAAGGCACTTTTTGGCAACCACTTATTTTAATAAGTAGTTCTTACCTGTACTCAGCAAACTACTTACTAGAAATGAGTGGTCTTTCAGACTTTTATCCCTCCTCATTGGCCAAAACAGGTTGTAATTTTTTTTTTCTTTATGAGAGTATGTTAAAACTTAGGAAATGCTAATGTGTTCTTTTCCATGCTGTTGCTTTTTTAGCTTCCTTTTTTGTACAGCTAAATGTGTTTTCAAAAACAGTGCCTTTTCTAATGAAAGTCACTATTTCATTTGAATTGGGAGCATGATTTGAAAATTCAAGGAAAACCTGCCAACAGTTCTATAGTGTTCACWTTTAGCACCTAAATACTATTAGTTTGCAAGTAAGCTGTAGAGCCTTAGGTGGGAGCTCAGCAAACAGCATTAATCACACATGTAGTTTAATATTGTCAAATGTRAAAGTGTGAAGTCTGTATTTAGTTGGTTAAAAAACAAATGTAAAAACTGCCAAGCTCCCCAAAGCTTTTATGAATGCCAGAAGGTTTGGATATTGATTTGGGAGCAGCATGCAGGATTTCTGAAAGAGTTTTGGTGATGTTTGCATCCAGCTCTCAATATRATCAGTTGAGTGCCTGAGGTGTTTTGAAAATCACAGCTTCCTGAACATAGCTCTGGGGCCCTCCTCTGAAAAATCTCTGGTTTTGAAGGATAGAGGGAATGGGTTAACTTGCATTCATGTGCTTGTGTAGATGAGCAAAAGAAGACACCAAAGATCATGAATGCCAGATTCCAAACAAGAAAGAGGCAATGATTCTTCATTTTCTTTCCCAAGGATATTTTAGATGCTCAAAACATTCTTGGACAGGAAAAATTCACAGAAAAGATTGCTGTCAATGTTGCTAGATTAAAAGAAACCATGTCTAGCTCAGGAAGTCCGTAATCTGAAAGTATTGGAGGTTGGAGGAGTCTTAGTAGGAAATATTGTATAGAAATGCCTTTTCTAGCTTTACCTTAGATAGCTGACACATGAGTGTTGGCAATAAACTGGGAACAATTTACTGTTAGGAAATAAAGGGAAGATCTACACCTGTGATATTATGCCTTGTTATCAGAAGATAGCAAAATTCATTCTCCAGGGTTAGGGAACATAACTTTGGTGATGCAGCAGCACCTCTCCCTGTGTTATGTCCCAAAAGAGAAGCAAGTCACACACAATCCTAACTAGAGACCAGTGCTTCCAATAGGTTTCCAAAACTGCCAAGCAGAAGGGCGTATTTGTTTCAGAAGGGAAAAAGAGAAAAGAAAAAGAAGCAAACCATAAAATATGATGTGATTGAAACTTTCCCAAAAGGAAATAAACAACCCAAAAGCTAAAAATTACAGGAACTCTTTTCATGTTGACTGTCTTTAGCARTCTTGTTACACCTGGTATTTAAGGTTTATTTCTAGGCCAACCAGTTTTTCTTACTGGCAGYGCCTGAGTTATCGCACACACTCTTGCAGGGTTGGATTTATGTTTAAAGTCCACAATTTTAGCAAACCTTTCAAGAATATTTTACACAGTGATATCAGAGAATCAATTATTCAGACTGTTTTCAGGTGGATTTTCTCTCCTCCATTTCTTTGGTTATTAAAGAAAACAGGAAATTTGGATCAGACCTTCASCTATCCAGTCCAAAATATATTTTTAACACCACGGCATCAAGTTGACATATGACGTGACACGATGTAACATAACATAAAACAACATTGCTCTGCATAACACATTAGAAATTAAAAAAAAAATCCTTTGGTTCCCATTGGTACTATCAATTTTACTTSCACATCTCTAAATTATGTTTGTTCCTCATGTCTTACCTCTTAGCCACTTGCTTAGGTGAAGAATCAGCCTCCCCTTCCCAAAAGGTTGGTTAAAAACATGAATAGTACGTCCACATTCTTGGCCTTTAGAAATGCAGATAAAAATCAGATTTTTCCTCTGGAATCTTCACTGATGTTTGGCTGATTTTTTTTTATTGACTATTTCCTTGTTTTCATAAAAGTTGTCACTAAGTGTCAGGAAAAATTAAAGCGGAAAAAGATGAATAACAATCTGAGCTGGTAATAACATACCTGAATACTCATCATGCAGATACTTAGATGTATACATAAAGAAATCAGAAACATGGTAGTATGATTTAGTAATTGGTAAAGTCAGATGGTCTCCATACAAAATCTGTAGATTATTTYTCCTATTGGTAAAATTTATTTTGATAATTAAAAGCTCTATGGTTCCTGCCAATTTATGGAAAATCAGAGAAGTGCACATTTTTAAAAGCATTCTTTTGCCTAAATGTCTTGGTTTTCAGGCTCTGCTTAAAGCCTGTCAGGCCTGTTTGATGGATGTGTTGATCAAATATGGATCATTTTGACTTCTGATGGAGCTGTCAACATGATGTCCTTAAAACATTGAAACTTTTGGTCCCTAGTTGCCAGATATGGTAAAGAGGGGTAATAGTGATGCCAAGATTAGTTACTGGCTTAGCTAAAGAAGCATGCGTGTARCTAATTAGGGGTAAAGTACAAATYAACCAAGTACCAGCTCTGGAATAGCTCTGTACCGTGTAGTGAGGGGAGGGTAAGTTTAGGCTTTAGGAAGACCTTTCTAGCAATAAGGACAGCCCAATACTGAAACAGGCTGCCATAGGTGGCTGAGGAGTAGGTGTTACTACAGCTCTTTAAGGGCAGGTTAGATAAAGGTCTGTCAGGAATAATATAGGTACAGGTGATCCTTCATTGCTGCTGGAGAAGAAAGCTATCTCCTGGAGTGTGCTTCAGCCCCATTTTCTCTGTCTCCACATAGGTTCCTTGAGTGCTCTTTACAGATAGAAAACCACCAGAAAGGTTACAGTTGCTTTAGCATAGTACTCTGACTAGGCAGAAAAACTCTTGAGAAAGGTGTATTGTGAGTTAGAACTGTATTGCACTCCACAGAAGGAATTCCCTTCCCCTTCTCCATAACATTCATGTCTCCTTCTTTCTTGTAGATTTTAATTTGGATTTTTTGAAGCTGCTTTTTCAGGCGAGCCATTATCAGTTAAACAAGCATCATCTTTCAAAAGCAGCCTTAGCCCATGGGTATACAGCTGGCAATAGCAGTGTGTATTTCTCTGCCTTGAGACTCCTTCTTCCAGGAACAGCAGCCATGTGGTTTAGAACCTATTGTTCACCAGAAGGCTGCAAGGCAAATGCATTTGCTGCTATCTTTGGTTRTGAGCTAATTCAGTCAGTTGCTGGGGAGCTGCAGGATAAGTCAGTATCATTGACATGAATGTGGAAATGTTCTGTCTTTGGGCTGTGACTTCTCTGACCAGCATATGGCTGCAAAGATCCATGAGAAACCTTCATCCGTTTGTAATGATGCAAATGGTTGGTAGAGATCATGCTCTTTGGCAGTGGTTGCATCATGTTAGTCATGTACTACTTACTTTCAGTTGGTAGTGTGGTCACAATAAATACAAGTTGGTTGTGTATAAGCAACATATACAGTAGCTTGTAACACTGAATAATGATGCTGGTTCTAGAGGTATTTTGGAAAAAAAGAAACACACCTAGTTTATAAATGTACACTATTTAGAAGTTCATATATGTAYGATACAAACAGAACCAGCTCCCGCTAAAGTGATCTGATAGTTTGTAATTTCAGGAAGTCACTGAAATTTGAAAAAGTTTACAGGCATTGTAATAACCTAATTGTACATTATGTTTAAGGGACAAAGCCACAGATTAGCCTTCCTATGCTGYCCCAGGAATCATCTGCCCTTTGGTTCCCACCCACTTTGGGAAAGACTTCTAATAAAGCAATGAAGCATTTGTTTTTCAAAGATATATTTATTCCTAGTGGGCATCAGTCAAAATCTGCCCTGTAGGGCAGATAGATTAGGTGAGAGCAGCATCTCTAAGTTCTTATCACCTGCTTACTTCAAACTTTGATTGATCCTGATATGGCGCTTTTGTTTCTCACTCACCTGCAGAGCCTGGAGTTTGCACTGTATTTGGAGATCCTCACTACAACACTTTTGATGGACGGACATTTAACTTTCAGGGAACATGTCAGTACGTTTTGACAAAAGACTGCTCCTCCTCTGCCTCGCCCTTTCAGGTGCTGGTAAAAAACGATGCCCGTCGGACCCGTTCTTTCTCCTGGACAAAGTCAGTGGACATTGTGTTGGGCAGAAGCACAATCAGCCTCCAGCAGCACCTCACAGTGAAGTGGAATGGGACCCGAATTTCACTACCTTGCGAGACACCACAATTTCAGATCGATTTGGATGGTTATTTGCTGAAAGTGACAACCAAAGCGGGTAGGGCAAGTGGATGTGTTGTCTGTGTAGGTGTTTGTATGTGTGTCTTCTTTCTTCCTGAAGAACTTCTGAAGTTCCAAATGAACAGTAGTCTGTAAAAAAGCATGAYAGCAGCAATAAATATAGTTATAATTCTTTAGAGATCAGAGAAACCCACAATGCTTTCAAAATTCCTGCAGCCCACAAGCAGACAGAAATCCCAGCTATGAGTTTGAAGTCTTCAGGATATTTGCAAAGCTATGTTTCATTCTGTGGCTGACAATTAACTGCCCGAATAGGCAAATGTGCCATGACTTTCACTTCCAGTWGCTTAAAAGTGGCTTATACAGAGTGTGGTGGGTTGACCCTGGCGGTACATCAATAAAACATGCCCGCCAAAGACACTCTATCACTCTCCKCCTCACCTGGACAGGGAAGAGAAAATATAGTGGAAGACTTGTGGTTCAATATAAGGACTGGGAGACATCACTTGGCAGTTACCATCATGGGCAAAATAGACCCAGTTTGGGGAAATGAATTTAACTTATTGCCAATCAAATGAGGGTAGGATAATGAGAAATGAATCCAGATCTTAAAAAGCTCTCCACACTCCCAATCCTCTTCTTCACAAGCTTAACTTTTACTCCTGATTCTTTCTACCTCCTCCTGCCCTGAGTAGTGTAGGGTGGGGAATGGGATTTGCAGTCAATCACATGCTGTATCTACCACTTCTTTMCCCTCAGTGGGAGGACCCCTCATGCTCATTCCTTGCTCCAGCATGGGGTCCCTTCTATGGGAGACAGTTCYCTGCAAAGTGTGTGTCTCTCCCATGGGCTGCTTTTCTTCACAAACTTCAAAAATGTGTCCTTCAGGTTGCAGACTGGTGCAGTCCTTCAGGACCAGGCTCCAGCATGGATTCCCCACAGGGTTACAAGTCCTGCCAGCAAACATGYTCTAGTGTGGGCTTCTCTCTCCATGGGTCCACAGGTCCTTCCAGGAGCCTGCTCCAGGATGGACTTCCCACACGGWCATGGTCTCCTGTAGGCATCCAACTGTTCCAGTGTGGGGATGTCTGGGGCCTGTAGGTGGATCTCTACTCCATTGCCTGCAGTGGGGCAGCCTTGCCTTACCATGGTCTTCACCATGGGCTGCAGGGGAATWTCTGCTCCAGCACCTCTTCTCCCCGCTTCRCCACTAACTACAGGGTTGATTATCTTATGCTCTCCCTCCTCTTTCCAGCTGCAGTTGCACAGGCCTTTTCTTCCTCTTCTTAAATATGTTATCTCAGAGGTRCTACCACTGTTGCCAAGGCTGAGCCTWTCTTGGAGCCAGCTGGAATTGGTCCATCTCAGAGCCAGCTGCAATTGGCTCCATTGGATAAGGGGGAAGTTTCTGGCAGCTTTTCACAGAAGCCACCCATGTAGCCCTCTACTTCCAAAATCTTGCCATGCGAACTCAATACACGACATCATTTGATACTTAGAGATAGAAACAGAGAAGAGATCAGTTCTTAAACATAAATTTCAGATTTTTCAAAGTTGCAGCAACATATCTTGCAGTTTAAGTCAGCAATTATATAAATTCATAGTTGTAAATGGCTGGAATAAGTTTAAGTTAGCAAATTATGGAAGAAATTCACTGGGCTACCCAGCAAAATGGTGGCTCTGGTTTAAAAAGAAAGGCCAAAGTTTTTGTTCTGTGCCATTGGACTTGCTTATTGGGCTTGCTTATTGGGCTTGCTTTGTGCCCAAGTAAGAAGCTGTCTGCAAGGAACAGAGTTTATAGCACCACAAGCAAAGGAAATTAGAAACTATATAGAATATGTTACCTTATTTCTAGAAACAGGGAAGCGAGACAGCATTCTCTTAGGTCTTTTGAATCTTAGAAAATACATTAATTGTCAAAACGCTAAACCAGAGGAYTTATTTTTGTTTTGATAAACTGTTCTGAAACTATAGTATCCTTGCATAGATAAATACTGAGGGGAAGTTTAAAACTTTCTCATTAGCATGTGTTAGGTACTATAGTCCTGAGAGATTTCACTTATACAGTGAGGTACTGTTTCCGTGAGAATACTRTTTACTGTTAATTCAAATAAATGCCGTGTGAAAGCAGTGAAACCAGTCTTTCTTATGCAGTGATACAGTTGCAGGCGTGACACATAGTCATACACATTATCTAGCATAATTTTTTTCAAGGGGGACACTAGCACCCACTGTTGAGTTGAGAATTTAGACACCTGTTCATATAGCCTCTGGAAATGTGAGTCTGCATAATGTGGATCCCAGCTCTGGGCTCATTCCTCAAAGTGGCAATGCAGATTTTTGTGGCTGTCTGTAAAATGCACACAAGTTGACCATTATTCACAACTTCTAATTAGAAGCATCTTGAGGGTTTTTCTTTGCAGCCAGCTGAACACCACGAATTCAGGCGATGTGGATTTCATTAGCCAACCACAGGCCAAGGAAAGGTTTTCAGTTGAGGATGAATGACAGCTAATCCTGCTGCTATTCCATTTGTCTCTGGTGCAAGCCTAATAAATGACTACACACATCCTTGTCCATGTGTTGGCAGAGGAAGTGCAAACATGGCATATGACAAAATACCAAACAGTGTGTAATCACTGCAAATTATAGCCTAAATAATTCCTCCCCTTAACGGAGCAGGATCAGGTTTCTCTTGCTGAATACAACTTGATGGGCCAAGTCCTCCTTTCCTCAGCACATAAGGCCTGGAAAGCAACAAAATGGCCTGGCTCCATTTTGCTGGGAAAGGACAAGCAGCAGAGGCTGTAGAGAGGAAGAATGTGCTGAGTAGAACTGGTTTAAAGGCAAACATGTTGTTCCACAGGAAATTCTGAGTGCTGGGGAAAAAAAATGGAGAAATTTCTGTTTCAGAAGGAAACATGGATTTAAAAAAAATATATATACTTCCCCAGTGTAGGGTGAAAAAAGAGAGGGAGGGAGGAAGTAATGAAAAATAAGCAAAACTGCCACACTAGAAATAAAATTCAAAGTAAAACWGGGCTGGGAAATGCAGGGTCTGGTGTTTATAGCTCAGCCAAGCATTCCCACGGATTTTGGTTTTCTTTTTGCAGAGCAGGGAGTTGAGCCTTGGATATAACAGGGAAGCCCAAAGCTTCAGGAAGTCTTGTGGTCCCTGGCTACGGGGCAATGTGCATGGCAGGGCAGTCCTGGGAGTTTCATACCCTGATTGTTCAGGCTTCCAGGCAGCCCACCAGGCGAGCTGGCAGGAAACCATCTTGGAGCCTTGCCTGTGCTCTGTTGGAAGTTCATTGAATACGATATGTCTCCCTGAAGTATTTCAATTCTGATGAATTGGCATTTTCCAGTGAMAACCTGTTTTGTTGCTAAATTCCTCACCAGCTGTAGCCCTGGATGCCACACAGCAGCAGTCCTTGCACTCTGCACTGGCAGCTATGGGTGTGCTTGGGATGGTGTTGAGTCCTTATCCAAAATTTGTGTATTAGAAAGATGAAAGAGCAGAGATTCACAGGGCTGGTATTGCTTATCTATTCCTTTATTGTACGAGCATTTTGTTGTTGAAGACAACAACTGTCTGTGCTGTCTTTTACACAAAGCCACTTTGCTGCACTTTTTCTGTACCACTTCAACATTAAATCTTTAGGGAGAGTTGTTTGCCAGTTCTTGAAGATGCCTTTAAGTCTTGAGGATGCCATGAAAAATCATGCAGAACAATTGATGAGAGCTCCCAGCATGGAGAACTCAATGTGTGATGTACATAAATCCAGAAGGATTTTCTGAAAATGGAGTAGAGTACCTAATGTGCCAAGTTAAGAAATCAAGTAACAAGTTAGTTAAGCATCTTTCAAAGAGAGGCAATAATTGGAAAAAATGGAAAAGTAACTCAGTRAATATTCCTTTTCTTCAGATCCCCAGATGGGACAGATGTTGCATCCTTTGGCTTTGCATCTCTTGGATTCTGCTTCTTGGCCAAGTGAATGGGAAACTCATCCATTTTGGGCGGGGGAAAGAAAAGGGGGGGTATGGCACCAAGAAACTCTTCCAAACACTTTCTGTCTGCCAAGGAGACCATTTCAAACATTGCTGTGTAGCATAATCCCATCTGTCACAGCTCTTGTTCGTTTACAGAAACTAACTGGATTTTCTGCTTGTGAACAAACAAAAGGCACACACTGCAGAGTGAGATTGGSCTCCAACAAAATTATCATGCATGTAGGAGTAAATACTCCAAAAAGGAATAAGCTCTGTTATGGTACAGACCCCTTTAGGCGTTTCATCAGAGCCAGAAATTACCCTTCCATCTGAGCAATTACAGCAGAATAAAGTGTAATTAAGTCATAACATCTAGAGGAAAGTACATCCTTGTATTAGTTACTCAGCAAGTCTCTTGAATGAAATCCAGTAATCAAAGCAAGAATCTCTAGATTTAGAAGTGTGCATTTTTATATGCTGAGAAGAAAAGCTGTAATTTTATGTTCTTCTTCTGTATACCTGTATGCCTTTTKCAGGTCTACAAAAGCAACATGTAACAGGTAAATTAACATATTATAAATATGCAGAAAAATTTTCAAACTAAACTTTCATAATTAATGTATTTTCACAGAAGGTCGGTAAGTCTTATCTAGAGGAAAAAAATAGTCATAAAAGGAAAATTAAGACAGAATCTTCASCCAGTCTTTTCTGACTTTGTTTACAGTAAGGAGCTTCTGAGGGAGCTTCTCTGGGGGAAAAAGTTGAACACAGCCTTTAAAACTATAGTTATTTTCTGAAAAGAACTGTCTGAGAATTTGGATCTTGATGCTTTAAACTTTGAGAAAGTTTATGTGATTTTCAAGTCTGAAGAAATCTTGGTTTATAAGTTAATGGCAGGTTTTTTCTAAATGCCAGCACAGCAGTATTAATTTTGTGTCTGCAAATCAAGCTGTGTTTTGTTTTGTTCAGTGTTTTCAGAAGCAAAGACAGCTGGATTTTGAATTTGTCCAGCAATGATAATGTATGAAACAGCTTAAAAGGCAGCTTTCTCCCTTGCCACTGTGCTGGCCTCGTTAACAGTTGTACTCTTGCACAATTTCTTAGTTGGCTGGGTGTAAAGTGCCTTTGGAGGAGGAGACAGTGGCCCCATCCATGCTGGGTTTATGAGGTAATTTGAAATTGATTTCAGGAATAGTTAGCTCAGGACATTGCTAATCTATGGTGGTAAGAAAATGGTCTAATAGACTGTAGTGACATGTGTTGCAGAATTACCTTCCCAGCMTTGATGAGTAAATCATTCCCAAAACTCTTGGTGACGTGGTGTAACCTACACAGGCACCAGGGCAGGACATTAAGATGGCAATGCACCCCTTCTTAGAGCCACAATTGCTGCTTGAGCCTCGCTCTCTTCCTCTGCAGTGCGGGTAGGAACTGTCATAGGATGCAAGGGGATGTGTTGCTGTATGAAGAGTTTCAGCTTTGAACTGAGTCCCTGGTATGTTAATTACTTACATGAGGATAGGGCAGGATTTGGATTGCACAGTGACAAGCACTGATTTACAAGAGGAAAGGGTGGTGTTAAGCCAGCCCACACAGCAAATGAAGAAAGCTGGAGTGAAGCCCTGGTCCTGCACCACAGAGTGATGCTCTTTGGTATTCTTGGCTAAGAAGGCAGAACCGGGTAAAATCTGGATTATCCTGTTTTAAAGCAGGATCCTGTGTTTATCCTTAGCTAGTTGCTGCTCACAGGTATTTTGTGAGAATAAATTAACATCAGCAATATGATTTGTGATCTTCAGATGTAGGGTTACTGCAGATGTGACATGGAAGTATTCATGAGACATTGGAAATAATTCTAGAAAGGCCATTTTTGGGTAGAAGTTAAGCAGCAATGTTTCTCAGTATTGCTTTTATCCCAAATGATATCAAAATCGTTTTCCCTTATGAGGTGCCTATTTACTCCTCAGAGAATGGAATTAATTTAATTTGTCTTCACTCAGGTGAAAACTAGAAGGTTAGTCTCCACTTGATCTCTGGCCCCTCTAGAGTACTGCTGGGAACAGACAGACATTTACAAAGTAGTTTATTCCCTCTGCTTTAGGCAATTCTGTTGTGATCCAGGGCTGCCTATTTTACTCCATCCAAGGGCCTAGACAGCTAATGTAAGCTAGACACCTAGCTGGGTACACACAGATAGAATGGATTTCACCCACAAAAAGTAACTTTGACTTTGATGTACCAGAAGTGCTAAACCTATGAAGGTTAGATGTTTACCGTAATTTCTCAGTGTTGTTGACTTATGCAGACAACTTCAAAAGGTTGGTAATTAATGCCTTTTGAAAGAACAGTTTGAATCTAATTTGGAATGCTTTCTTACAACAGTTTTTCCCATCCAGCATATGTTTATTGTAAAATAAGGTACTTGCATTTGAACAGTTGTATTTACCTCAGTGAGCCATCAGCCATCTTGTAGGCAAGAATAGGATATTTGCCATAAGGTGGTCACTGCTGGAGTCTCATGGGGTATGGACATCTTTGTATGCCCTTGACCTGTGCAGTAGATGACAATAGCTGAAATTCTGGGCCCCTTGCAAAATCAGCCAGAAATTTACCATAGCAAATTCAATTTGCAGAATTTTTCAAGAACCCACCTTTGATGTTGAGAGTAGTCCTGCCTTGGCTCCGAATTTTTTAGGATAACCCCATTCATTAGCAAGAAGGAACAAAAATAAGCAGAGATAGGCGTGAATGAATTATAATTTACTGTAATTTAAGACACACCACACTTTCCAGAGGCACTATTTGGAAACTATACAGAAATCTAACAGCATTATTAGAACGAAGCCAATGTTTGTTCAAGTTCCCATGAACACTATTTCACAAACCTAAGGTGCAGTTTGTTAATCTCAATTTCTTCTTCTTCTATTTTTTTTTTTTGGTGCGTTTTTTTGTCTTATCTTTTTATTAGGCTTGGAAATCTCATGGGATGGAGACAGTTTTGTGGAAGTCATGGCTGCACCGCATCTGAAAGGCAAACTCTGTGGTCTGTGTGGCAATTACAATGGGCACAAGCGAGATGACCTGATTGGGGGGGATGGAAATTTTAAATTTGATGTCGACGACTTTGCTGAATCCTGGCGTGTGGAGTCCAATGAGTTCTGCAGCCGCCCGCAGAGAAAACCTGTGCCTGAGCTCTGTCATGGGACAGTGAGGGTGAAACTCCGAGCTCACCGGGAATGCCAGAAACTCAAAGCATGGGAGTTCCAGAACTGTCATTCAACAGTGGATTATACCACATTTTACCGGTAAGTGTGGCTTGCTGTGGAGGGAGATACTAACTTAGTGTGTGAGCAGAAAAAACACATAGTAGGCGCAGTTTCAGTAGCATCTGAACATACGTGTTGAGATGTTTTTGCTAAGAATTGATATGCAGACTTACCTTGTGGGAGGTTTTCTGAGTCCAGAATCAGAAGAAGATGGTCTTGAGCTAATAGAGCTGAGCAGCCAACAGAGAGAAAGGCAGGCATGCTTGTGAACACCTAGAGAAAAAGTACTTTTGGAGACTGAGGAAAGAGGGGGAAGAAACTTCAAAACATTTTTGTAAACTTTCTCTGATTTCAAAGTCAGTTGTAAAGTTGAGGCCAACTTTAATTTCTATTGCTTGTGGTCCAGAGAAGTGTGTCTTCTCAGAAACATTACTTTATTAAAGCAGGGATATTAAATATTGACTATGCCTCTTGGATGGTGTGGGTTAAGAGTTTGAAAAGGGAGAGTTACAAAAAATTCCATGCATGGCCTATCCTGCCCTGGGAGAAAAGAAAGACAGACGATGATCTAGAATCTTTGTCTGAGTGAATCACTGAAGAATTTTTATCTTTACAATGCTTACAGTCTAAACCACAGATATGTAATTTCTATTCTTTAATTGCCATGAGTTTACCCCTCACTCAGAAAATTCAATTGTCTATTCTTTTGATTACCTGACACAAAAGATAAGAGCAAGCCGAGTCACAGTTGTATGGTTGTAGATGGAGCTGCCTGATCTCTGTGCTCCCAGGCTTTCCCCCCTTGGGCATATCCACTGAACTATTTGATTTATTAGGAAAAGCTTTCTGGAATGACTCAACTTCCCTTATGAATTGCCTTTCCTCTTTTTTATAATGAGACAGAAAAACTTTTATCTACTGCAGCAGAATACATCTGGGACTGGGAAATGCTCTAGGAAGACACACAGCTTGGCTTGTAGTCTGTGTGCCTCTGTTCTTATTTTGCTGTAGTGTATCCCTGTGCTAGGAGCCTGGCAAACAATAAAGATTATATTGTGTGCAGGTTTTAAAATTTATCTTTTCCAATGGTTGAAGGCACAACAGAGAGCACTAGAGAAGCTAACACACACACAGGGTCTGCTGAGTGCATTTCAGCAGCATTGCCATCTCACTTCCATCGTCCTTTAGAGGTAAGTGATGACAATGAAAATGGAAAACAGGCACAGAGAGATTTGTTTAATTTTGCAGTGGATTTTTTGTTCCTTTTTTAAAGTAGCTCATGATTAATTTAGTGCAATACACTTCCTGACACCACAGCAGAAAGTGATTTATATTTTGGCTACAACAGTAAAAAAAAAAAATTCTACATGCTTGCACACAAGAATTACCATAGAGCTTTTCTATTCCTTTAAAATTATGTCTAATGTTTGTCCTGGAAAGTCAATGAAATAAAGCAAGTATTTAATTTGATTGTGTCCTCTGGTAAAAAGTGTATTTTTCCCTAAGGAAACGTTATGTTGAAATGAACATCATATTCTATTAGAAATAGTTGTTCATTTGTTTCCATTTAGATGTTGCTAGCTGTTAGAATGCTCAGCTTCCAACACAGGAATAAAGATAAACTATAATTAAACAATGGTATGTAGTGGAATGCTGCTTTTCATTAGAAACTGATAAAGTTGTAGCAAGGAATTTAGTCAATGACCATGGCCATGTTTCGTACCAGGAACTTTCTGTAAGGAGGTAATGATTATGGTACCCACATTCAAAAAAGTTCTGGAAACCCTTCTAAAATAAATCTTTGCAGGTATAAATGTGTGTGTGTAAGAATAAATATGAGTATTTCAGAGATTTGCATTTTTCATTTAATTTCTTTTCAAAGAACTCATTACTGGTGATATGCTTTTGCAGAAGATTGAAATTACCATTAAAAGAAATTCAAATTAACACAGCTTCTAACTGAGGTTTTTTTGGAAAAGCATATTTAGTCAATATTCTCTAATTTCAGGGTAAGTTTAACTAAATTTTTTTTAAATGTGCTGTTCTAACTCTGAACGAGCTTCTAGCCATAAGAAAAGTGAGGAGGCAGAATGATAGGGTCAGATTCCTTTATTTTCTCCTGATGTCCTCATTGAATTGAATAGCTTCTCTGTTTTTACATTTTACATTTCTCCATTACATATTATGGATCTTTTTCATTTGAAATACTACCTTCTCAAGAAATAACCTTTCTTGGTCTTCTTCCCTATATTACTGACATTGCTTCACCCTCATTCTGCTGCTTGGGTAGTGACCTGCTGCTAATAAAAATTTGCAGAAATAGAAATAAACTCAGCAGGACCATTAGGAATTAGGGTGTGTTTTCTCCAAATACCAAAAAAGGCAGTGAACAATTCATTGCAAACATTTGTCYGACATTGTGTTACTGAAGATATCTCAAATGCTTTTTAAGTCTCATTCATTTCACAGCTGTAGTTTCTCATTTTGTTGTTCATCAAAAAACATACAGCATGATTGTCATGATTGTTAAGTAAAAAGGATATAATTAATGTTTTAAAGAGTAGAGACCCAGCTGCATGTTAACTCCTGAGTTTTACCTTGAGACATCTGTGACACTGTAGGTCATGCACCTTGCCCTTAACCCTTTTTCCTGATACGACTTTGATGACTTGTGTCTCCCTGCAAAGCATATGGCAGAAGAAAGCACARTGTAAGTGTATGAGAAAGGTTTTTGAAATAGTCCTGACTGCACACTAACAAACTTAGCATCTAATTTTACACCACTCTTTTAATTCTTTGTTTTTTAACTAGACACGTTCTATGTTTTTTAATTGTGCGTTGCTTTGTGTAGTTTTGAGCTGGTATTTTTTGTTTGTCTTTAATGCATTGCTAGTTGTTCAGTACTCATGAGTAATACTCTAAAAATAACCCTGAGGGTTGACCTTTTTGGAGGCAAGTTCATTAAGTAGGGAAATGATTTTGAATTTCTAGGAGATTTTGGTAAAATCTGTGTGAAGAAGAGATTAGCAGTTAGCATCATCACCATTGCCACTTGTCTGTTTTGGTATTTCAGCAGGGCTAAGCATCCTAGAGCAGTCCTTGAAAAAAAAAAAGAAAAAGAAAAAGTTACCAAGGTTACTCAATAGCAAGTTTTTAGACAAGGTATTTAAACTACATATGCAATAAAGCTGTTGCTCAAACTCCTGAAACTGCTCTTGAGTATAAGCAGAACTAAAAATAGGTGATACTATCTCGCTGTCTTTTGCTGGTATTGTCAGAAAAAGCTCTATCCCATTATCCAGAAATACTATGGTACCATTTAAGCTCGTGGAGGAGAATTGGGGGAYCTTGGGGAACTTGAGGAAGGAGAGGAGAACTTTCTATACTCACCAAGCCCTATCCCATGGCTGATCTCTGTGCATCTTTGAGCAGTGCTGTAGAAGGAGCCTGCAGGTATCTCCAGCCCTGGTGAAGCCCGGGAACCATGTGACAGAGTAGGGAAGGTCACCAATGTGTCCCCATGCCTGCTTTGCTTGGTCGTGACTGACACCTGTCAGGAGCCTCCTTGGGAAGCACAGTAGCAG